CCTTCGGGGAGACTAGGTGATAGCCTTGTCTAGGAACCGAGAAGCCCCAACTTCTATAAGTAGGGGTAGTTCACTCAATGACAAAAGACTAGCTATTGCCAGCAATTAGAAAAGGAACAAAAAAATCAAGCCCAAATTATTCAATTACTGCCAAAAAACTAAAAAATTAGTTATAAGTAAATATGAACAAAAGTAATGGATTACTAAAATCAAAATTAGATCAATTTTACACCAACCCCTTAACGGCAAAAAAAATAACCAGTATTTTCACCGAAGAAATAAAAAAATTAGACTACCAAAAAATTAATTTCTTGGAACCCTCAGCTGGAACCGGAAACTTTTGCCAAGCCATCCGAGAAATCAGCAAAAATAACCCTTTTGTCAGTAAAAAAATATTAGCCTTTGATATTGAGCCAAAAACAGACAAAGAAAATATTATTAAAACTAACTTTTTAAAAGTTCCGTTAACTAAATATTTAAAAAAAGAAAAGAGAAATAATTATGTAACTATTGGCAATCCTCCTTTTGGTAAAAAGGTAAATTAGCCTTAAATTTTGTCAACAAAATTGCTAAATATATCGATACGATTGGTTTCATTCTCCCCCTGACTTTTCGCCGATGGAGTATTCAATCTAAATTAAATAAAGATTTACAACTTATTTACGACATTAATTTAGAACCTAATTCTTTTTTAGTTGATAATAAGGTTTATACTCTTAATACTTGCTTTCAGATTTGAACCAAACGGAAAACCGAACAAAAAGATTTAAGAATTAAACAAAGACCAATCACAAAACACCCCGATTTTGAAATGTTTTTACACAATAACACCCGGCCAACGCTCAAATACTTTCAAAAAGATAAATACAATTGAGATTTTGCCGTAGTCCGACAAGGATTTTATAACCAAAAAATAGAAAATGCCGCACAATTATTTAAGAATCGCCAATACATTTTTTTCAAAAGCAAAAATGAGTTAGCCAAACAAAAATTATTACAGTTAGATTTTGCTAAATTAAGCCAAAAAAACACTATTATTCCTGGTTTTGGGAAGCATGATATTATAATTGCTTATAACGACTTATGCTAAAAAAGATATTTATTACAATGTGCGAAATAGATGTCAGATTTTAGACTAATTTAACTAGGAAATTTTGCTGGCATTCCTCCAACTCAATCATAACTAGGACGTTTGAAATAACAATGTCGAAAAAACTTAGTCATATCTTTCTCATCCAGCATATCTATAGTTCTATTTATTGCTTGGTCTAGTTCTTCAAGTGTCTCGGGCTTGCTCTTTTCTATATAATGTCTAATGAAGTTAAAACAAAATTCAGTCGAATTTAACATGGGAGCATAAGCGGGTAAGTAAAATGGTTCAATATTCTTACTCACCAACAACTCCTTAATCGAACTTAATCCTAGTTTCCTACATGCCCAACTAGCATGGTGGATCCGAACATTATCCATTACTAAATAAGTTTTTTCATTGGTAGGAAGTTCAATATCACTCAAAAACTCGTGAAAGTCTTCGGCTTTAACTGCTCCCTCTTTTAGTCAGCAGTAAAGCACTCCTCCTTTTTCTACATTCCTAACACAAAGAAGTAAAGTATAATTGATACTCTTTTTGCCTGTCCTTTGCGAAATAACTCGTGAACCTCTTTTAGCATAACCATAACGAGGTGCTTCACCAATATGAAAACTACACTCATCCAAAGCAAGAATAGGCATATCAAGCATAGAAAAGTATTTCCCCGCAAACTCTTCGGCTTTCTCGTAATTCATTTCTTTATAGTGATAAGTTCTTTTTTTACGAGTAATCCCATGCTTTTTCAAAGTGCGAGAAATAATGAACCGAGTTATTTTTTGTCCTATTAGTTGGGAAACATAGTCGGCTAATTCTTGCTGGGTTTTATCATCATTATTGTTAATATATTCAAGTAAAGTTTTTAGAACTTCTCCAGTTAGTTTTAGTTTTCTTCCCCATTTTCTTCCATATCTATGGTCATAATGGAACTTCCTTTCATTTCAACGATAGATGGTTCTTTCATTAACCCCCTCAAAGTCAGCCATCCTCTTTCTTGTTCAGCCTATTTGCTGTAAGTGGGTTATTTGAGTAGAATTAAGCATGATGTTAAATATAGAAAGATGCTAATGCTCCCTCTCTATAAGTAGTTTTACTAGAGTCAATTGGGTGGGTAATTTTCTTACTTTTTAAGTTTTATGAACTTTTTCTTTCTTTTTTTACTCAGTAAAAAGAAAGAAGTTGTTCCCATTATTAGTGCTATTGCTAATCCTCCTGCTATTCAAGACCAAACATTAACAGGGTTAGATGATTGTTTTTCAGAACCAGTTTTATTTTGTTTATCTAATAACCTCAATAGTTCTTGTTTCTTACTTTCATCCAAATTTGAGTTAAGGATTTGTTCTTTATTTTCCAAAGTGATTTCTCCTTTTTTGATTTTTTCTAGGAGTTCATAGTAGAGTTTTTTATAGTCTAATTCAGGTTGAGGTTTATCATTCTTGGGAGTTGGCAGGTTATAACCTTCATCATGGTTAGGTATCTGTGGTTCTTCTTTTTGGGAATGATATCCTTCATTTTTTTTTCACCACTTAACTTTTTTGTTTAACTCGATTAATTTTTTCTGTGATAATTCTATCAATTTTTCTTTTAAATGCTCTGGCAGCATTGATAAATCTATTTTCAATAAATCTTCTAACGAATAATTATCAGGGCTAGCCAAGATATTTTGAGATTTACGAATAACAGATAAGTAGATTTTTTTGTGTTCAAGAATTTCATAGGGTAGAACTGATTTATCTCATAAACTTTCCTTGAATACTTTAGTTTTAAATAATTCAAAGTAATCAAGACCACTTATGTTTTCATAATCAAAACTATCTGAAGAACAATAAAGTTCTTTTAAATTTTGACAGTCGCGGAAGTCTGAAACTACTAAGTCATGTTGTAAGGTAGTATCTAAGAAATCTAGAGACTTACAGTTAGTTAATTTTAATTTCTTTAAACTATTAGTAAATAACCTATTTGCTCGGCAAGAAACAAAATTAAGTTTTTCCAAATCGCTTAAGTCAAGTTCCTTTAAATTATTTTCAGCACAGTCTAAAGTATGAAGAGAAGAACAACCATTAAGATCAAGACCTTCATATAACCCTCCTACCGCATTACCAGCCCATCTTAATTTCCCTTTATCGTCGCGAACAGCTTGCTTTAAAAAGGAATAATTGAAAGAACAATTTAATTCTTTTAGATTTTTTAAGTTGCTACAATCTAAACTTCATAACTTATTGTTTTGAACATATAACTCTTCCAAATTGCTTAAATATTTTAATTGTAATTTGGATAACGAATTATCATAACAATAAAGTCGCTTTAAACTATCTAAACTTCTTAAATCCAAATTAGTTATCTCATTAATCCCACAATTTAAAGTTTCCAAATTTTTACAACCATTTAGAAATAAGTTCTTTATTTTGTTAGCCGTTAAATCTAACTTCTTTATAGAACCAGACAAAATGCTAGCGTCAAAAGAAGTTAATTTGTTGTTGTTTAAAAAAACAGTTTCTAAATTACTATTGAGTAAAAATGTTCTTTTTATCTCATTGTTAGAAGCATCCAAATATTTCAAATTAGGGCAATCTTTAATAATTAACTTGGTTAGTTGGTTATTGCTACAATCTAAACTTCTTAAATTAGTAAAACCACATAAATTAAGTTCGCCTTTTAAGCCCAGTTCACTGATATCTAATTTCTCTACTTTATTCTTATCGTTAGGAGATGGATATTTATTGTCTAATAATTCTTGAGCATCACCATTAATTTTGCTTTTTACGATTCCATCTGGTAATCCCAAAGCATCCAACCTAGACTTTTCCTCTACACTTAAAGAATTATCGCTATAAGAAATAACTCGTAAGTTTTTGGCCTTTAAGTCTTCAACTGGAACCTCTCATTTAGTTAACTGATTATTATGGGTGTAGATTTCTTGAACAGAGGGACAATTCTCTATTTTTAATTTAGTAAGTTTGTTATGAGCCAGTGAAACCAACTTCAAATCAGGGCAGTTTTTAATTGTGATTTCGTTTAAATTGTTATTACTGAAGTTTAACTGTTTGAGGTCAGGATATCCTTCAATTACTATTTTCCCTTTTAAACCTAGATGAGTAAAACAAATATTAACAATTTTCTCTTTAGTGCTTTCTAGGCTAACAAAATCTTTCCCTTCTTGTTTTGCTTTTAACTTTAATCAATTGGTTAATCAAGCTTGATTTTCGTATTCTGTTGTCATATTCTATAGGATTTTTTCAAATTTTCAATAAGTCTCATAGTTTGCATCTCGTAATCTTTGTGCTTCATCTAGTGCCTTTCTTGCTTTTTTTAAATCTTCTTCACATCATTTTTCCCTTTGGCAACAAAGTTCATAATCTTCTTGAGCCTCTTTGTCAGTTGGATTAGAGGAAAGGAATATATCCAAACGATGTTTCTCTTTGAGAATATTAGCACGTTCCTTTGTAAAAAATATTACTTGTCCTTGGTGGTTCTTTATGTTTATATCTAATGAGTTCATTATATATCTATTTTATAAACCCAAAGAGTTAACAGGGTTGACTTTAAGCAAGAAAACCTAAATGCGGTTTGCCGTTAGATAAGCAGAAAGTATTCTTCTTTTGATAATTTTTTCTCGGTGGAAAGATCCTTTGGGGTCAGTTCATAAAAAACGCAAGCATTGACCACAAATCTTATCCTCGGTTTTTTCACTAGTTAGATAATCCCAACTATAAACTTTACTGTGGCTACGAGTAGCATTATTTCACTTTATCCAAAAATCTTTTTTACACTTAAAACATCTTGCTTTCATTGGCAAACCTTTTGTGCTTCCAGAACGAAGAACAATTTCTGCTAGTAGTTCTTCATCTGTAAAATTTTTTAGTAATTTATTTTTATCTTTCATATTTTAGTCTAAAATCTGACATCAATTTCGCACATTGTAATATTTCTCTCCAGGAAAAGAAAGACAATTGACTAGGATTTAGCGAGGGAGAACAATTAGAAAGCAAATTGGCAACTGAATTAAAGAAAATTGGTTTTACCCACTTAAATAAAAAGGACTTGGCTAAGGAAGAAAAAACAAAATGGCAAGAACTAAAAGAGAGGGTTAAGAGCAATGAATTAATTATCAATAATTTCCCTAATTGAACCAAAAATAGTTTTGTTTATTTACCCTATGGAACCCAAAATTATCCTGATTTTCTTATTTTTACTAGTAAATATATTATTTCGCTAGAAGTAAAAACCTCCACCGAGGGAGGAATAAAACCAATGTGAAATTCCCACTTACCCCAAGCAAATGGACTTTATGTTTTTGCTTCTTTTGGTAAAAGAGATATCACTTTTTTTCATGGTGCGGATGTCATTGACCCTCAACTAAACAAAGATTATGCGAATGTCTGAAAAGATATCCAAGCATTAGCCGGATTAGAGATTGTTCGCTTAAAAAAGGAAGGCAAAGAAATCAGACCCATTGCTTTATATGAGAGAGTGGTTTTTGATTTACCAGTTAAAGAAATTCATGCTTCTCCTGTGGTTAGAGAGAGGCCGGTTTTATTGGCTAAATAGTTTTTTATAGATGGAAAGCTCACCATTCGCAAAAAAAAAAGTAATTTTTTATCATTCTCATAGAAAACTAATGCCCTTGCTGAATTTCGTAAATCAGAAAAATATTTTCTAATTTTTTAAGTAAGGTAATAACTAAAAAAGATTGGAGAAAACATTCTCCCTTTCTAAGATGCATAAAACATCATGCCAACAGAAACAAACTACACAAGAGAACCGCAAGACTCCCAAGAATGATTCGACAATTGATTCGAAGGGGAATATGACCGGGGAATGGCCGGAATCAGATCCAACCAAATTGACTGAAGTTTAAAAAGCCTAACCGGTAAATTAAAAATAGAAAAATTGGAGGGAATAACCTCCATTAATTTAGGTGATAATCAGATTACTGATTTGGAAATCTCCAATTGCCCCCAATTAGAAAGAATAATTTGCTCCCATAATCAATTAACCGAATTAAAAATAAACAATTGTCCTAATGTAAATAGGATTTATTGTTCCCATAATCAATTAAAAGAACTAGATTTCACTAACCTGGAGAAATTAGAAAAATTATTTTGTGAAGATAATCCTAATTTGCGGAAGGAAAAGATAAAAACTCCTCCAACTACCCAATTTTTAAACTCCGAGACATTTTCCGAAGGAGATGGAACTACTGAACAAGATGCCCAAGAATATGTGGATAATTTAACTTGACAAGATGAGGAAGGGAATAATTTGACTCCCGCCCAAGTAACAGAAATGGATTTATTAATTACATAAATCCCAAAAATAATCCTCCAAATTGCGGTAAGACGAAACTAATTAGTTAAAAATTAAAATGTAAGCGCCTTATAAGAACTAATTAAAAATCGATATGCTTCCCAAACAGGAGATCTTAGAAAAAATTAGCCAGAAAATAAAAGACATTCCAAATCGATCGGGAGAATGTAAGCGCAAAATCCACTACTGTTGCTATCTTTTGTGTTACGGATCCGGTTTACGAATTAGCGAGGCGATAAGGTTTGACTTAGCCAAAAAAAACAAAAATGGTTTATACACGATAGAGAAGCCAAAAGGCAAAAAAGAGCGATTGGTTTATGTTCCTAAAAAAGTCATTAGCGAACTAAAAGTGAATAACTGAAAACCAAACCAAACTAGTCGTTTTAGTTTTTTTCATTTTTTGCGAAAAGTCAAAAGAGAGTTAAACCTTGAAAAAAGCACGGAGTTATCACCTCACACTCTACGACGTTCTTTTACTACTTATCATGCCGAACAAGGTGTGCCTTTACCGCTTTTACAAAAAATATTAGGTCATACTACGGTTCAAGCCACCGCCCTTTACTGGCGAAATATTTATCATGAGGACGATGATGATATTGGCTCAATTTTGACAGGCAAGCAATGATTAGAAAAACCCAAGAGCCAACCTTTACCAGCCAAACCCACCATTTTTTCACCTACCGAAAAAGAGGAAATAACCTCTGGACAGGAAAATGGTTTTTTACCAATTTTTGAGGAAAACTCACCCAAAAGAGCAAAAAATGCAATTTTACCGGAGAGCAAAAATCCGAAAATTCTCATTCAGAACCAACCTCAGAACCAACCACCTATTAAGAACAGTTCACCGCCCATTGAGACAAAAAAACCAATTTCAATTGAACCAAATTCTCTCCCAAAAAATACCCAAAAACAATTATTGCCACCAATCAGCAAACAGGAGCAAAAAAACAATGAGTGCCGTGTTCTTTCTGACAAAAATTGTTTTGAACTCTCCCAAAATCAAAAAAAAGAGACAATTTTAATAGCCAAAATTAAGGAATTGGAGGAACAATTGAAACAAGTCCAAAACGAAAATAATAATTTGAGAGCAGAAAACAAAATGTTGAAAAATTTAGTCTCTGAAAATCAAAATCCAAAAGCCTTAATTCAAAATGTAGTTGAAAACCAAAAAGCAGTAGTCAAACTATCTAATTAACGCTCAGGAAAGTTGTAAATTACTATAATAACATGATTATAACTACGAGGACTCCGAGCAAAAAAAGTAATAATCATTCTGCTCTTTTTTTATCTTTATGGTATTTAGTAAGATTTACAATTTAAACTTGGAAGAATTAATAACTTACACCAATAATCTCCATATCCCTTTTGAAATTATTATTAAAAGTAGTTCATCAACGCCGAGAGAAATCAAGGTTGCTAATAATCGACAGGGACAAGAAATAATCAATGAATAATTTTTTTTTCACACGCACCTAGTTTATGCTCTCATGAAAATTATTTTTTTATTTAGCAGCCATCACAACTAAAATACAAGTTAAAAAATACAGTCCAGGCAACGACAATTAAAATACAAGTGATAACTTTTCATATCTCCGTATATTCGAAAATGTCTTTACTCATTATTTCAATCTTTTTTAAAACTTTCATTTTTTCTTCAAACTTTTTTTTTCGTTTTGGTTGGAATTCAGCATCGATTTTGATCCTTATTTCTTCATTTTTTATTTTATTAAATATCGGT